TACCCCAGTCAGATTTCTCTCATTCTCATTAGTTTATTAGCTATACCTTGTCCTCCTGTGAAATAATATTTTCCAATATCAATCCTATTGCCCACAGGGCATAACTGGCCCTTGTTAAGTACAACTTGACATTCTCACCTGGACAGGCCTCAGGATGACTGTTGTGGAAAATGTCATATTGTTCCAATGGAAGCCACTTTCTGAGTTGGGGTTTTGGCAAACAGTTAGGGCAGAGAATTGCACTATTTCCTTTCTGGCTGTGTTATACCCAATATGGATGTAGAATATGCTGACACCAGTAGAGTTTGTCTCTGCATTATTTCAAAAGGTGCATAAATAAAGTTGGGAGTTTTACAAACATCAGTTCTGATGAAGACTCACTGGACTTGAAGGGTTAACCCTGTTTTCCTCCCACAGATGATGCCAGACCTGCTGAGTTTAGCAATTTCTGTTCGTGTCTCATAATCAATTAAGCAGTGGTTTCACTTATTTTTTGCTGAAACTGACTTGAAATTGCCAAGTAGCTGGAAACAGATACTTGATGGTGAAATTAAACTGGAGCCTTCCTGGATTTTAGAAATGTTTGCTGTTGGTTGATGTGGATTTTTTTATAATACTGATCTTGTGGTATTAGGAAAGAAGGTAGAAGGGGCAAGTTAATTGCTGCTAGTGAATTCCTGGACAAAGAGTAATTTTAACACTGATTATATATACCTGGGGTGGGGGTGGAGTGGTTGGCGAGACAGTCCCTTCTCAGAATATTTTTCGTTTTAATAGTTCCCTATGTCTCCTGAGACAGTACCTTCCAAATTCATGACCATTACCATCTAGATGGACAGGGATAGCAGATACATGGGAACACCACCACATGCAAGTTTCCCCCCAAGTCACTCACCATCCTGACTTGGAAACGTATCACTGTTCCTTCACTATCACTGGGTCAAAATCCTGGAAACCACCCTGCCCCCCCCACCCCAACCCTTAGCAGTGTAACAGGTCTACCAACACCAAATGGCCTGCAGTGGTTCAAGAATGCAGCTCACCATCACCTTCTCATATGTTATTAGGGATTGGTAATAAATGTTGACCAAGGCAACTACACCCATGTCCTATGAAAGAATTAAATAAAGACGTTCTTTGGTCTTTCTAAAACTATATTGCAGATGTATTCTTCATTAACTTAATGGAAATAACTAAACAAAAAGATATTAACTTTGACTGGTGTAGTAATTATCAGCAAACTCTTCATCTTGAACTAGTTGTTTTATAACACATGCAGTCCTTTTTAATGTGGCTGATGGGTCCCATATCACTTAGGCATAATAAGGAGATCAAACCTTGTAGCAGATACGGAATGATTTTGACCCTCCAGTGTCACCGGTTGAATGGTCCATAAATCTGATTCTAATTGGAATGAGCATCTTCACTCACATTTTCCCACATTATATTCTATCAGCCAAGTTTCTGCCTACTCATTTAAAGCATGTATATGAAGTGTCTAATTATTGATCTGAAACCTTCACTCTTTTTCTGTCCACAGATTCTGCCTGCCTGCTGAGCTACTCTAGGATTTTCTGTGTCCTTTTCCAGACTTTTCACTTTCCCCGGTATTTTGCTTTATAGGATTGGATTAAGTAAGGCAAGAGGACTCTCACATGGACAATGAAAATTAGCATTGATCATTTGGGCCTCTCTCTGAGTTGTATATTCAAAGTAATGTTTTAGTTGAAGTCCTAATTGCTTCCCAGATAGTATACAACTGCAGGCAACACAGAGGGTGAAGGAACTGCTCCAAGGCTGGTCCCCATCTGCAGTGCTGTGTGACAGCCCAGGGAGAATGTTTTGAACTTCCTCTCTCCCACGACGAGGTTGTCTCTACAATTACCTTCTCAGCTTCTTTCTTGTCAATTACAGGAGGAATGAGCTCACAGGTCAGTGAAATGTTGTGTAAGTCGCAATTATACACAGTAAGGAACAGCAGGCTACCTTACCATAGAGTGCATCAAAGTACTACCTCATCCTATCTTTGTTGCTATTCACACAAGTAAACATGGTCTAGGTATGAATGACCAATCATGGACAGAAGCCTTATGCTGATCTGGTATTAGAGGTCGGATATAATTGCACTTAGGAAGACAGAAAGAAAATCAATGAGGATATTTCCAGAAATTGAGAATTTTAACAATGAGAAAAGATTGGATTGGCTGGGGCTGTCTTCTTCGGAATAGAGAAGTCCGAGGGTAGGTATAATTGTGGAAAATTCTGAGGGATCAGAAAGGATCTATTTCATTAGCAGACAGATCAAGAAGCAGGAGACGGGTATTTGAAGTAATTGGTGGAAGGACGGGGGAGTTAAAGGATAACTTTGCACCCAGGTGCTGGTGGGGATTTGGGACTCAATGTGTGAATGAGACAGAAACCCACAAAAAGAACTCAAATATTCACTTCAGGTTCCATAACCAAGAGGACAATGAAGCAAGAGCTGGAGGCTGGGATAAGTCGGATTGCTCATTCTTGGCTGGCACCGACATGACAGGCTGAATGGCCACTTGTTGTATTTTCATACCAACATGAATCAAACATAAAGAGAACCAATATGCAGTAGATACCAAGATATCTTTCAGAACTGGAGCTATTCCACTGCATCTGTGTAGGGCAGGTTGCCATCACTCATGGTCTCATTGAACAATTGAGGGTGGAGAATAAATGCTGGCCTTGAGAGCAACATTGCACCCAAGAATTTTTTTTTTAATTACAAGTCCTGGGAATGGATATATTCCACAGGGAACCTCAGTGGCTGGAGCTGAACTCTTTTATTGGGAGCAGCTCCCCTTCAACTGTCAATGAACTAATTCAATTGCTCCCCCAATTACTGAAACAGTCATGAACCTGACATGGGAACCCAGCCCTGATGTCAGTGATATTACATGTTTGCCTCTTGCCATAGTTAGGGACAGCTTCCTCATTAATTTGTTACTGAGTGCATAAGCTTTGATATAAAGATATCCCTCTCAGCCTAGCTTCTAATTTTTTTCAAATCAACTTAGACATGTTATGACACACCTCTGGAAGCAAATGGGACTTGAACTCAGATCTCCTGGTTCAGAGTTTGGGACATTATCACTGCATCACAGCAACCTCCTCAGTCAAGCTTGTACACATAGATTAACATCAGAATCTATCAGGAGCAATATTGGAAATGTACAAAGCTGTTTTCTGCAGAAACTTCCATCAGTTGGTGATGAGACTTGTTCTGTATGAAAAAGTGAAATACTCTTATCTGTGCATAGTGCCTGTCATAACTCAGGACATCCCATAGCACTTTATAGCAAATTGGCACAGTTGTTCAAGGTTAGCACTGCTGCCTCACAGTGCCAGGGACCCAGGTTCGATTCCACCCTCGGGTGACTGTTGGTGTGGAATTTGCACATTCTCCCTGTGTCTGCGTGGGTTTCCTTTGGGTGCTCCGGTATCCTCCCACAGTCCAAAGATGTGCAGGTTAGGTGGATTGGCCATGCAAAATGCAGGGTTACAGGGGATAAGGTGAGTCTGGGTGGCATGCTCATCATGGTGGACATGTTGGGCTGAATGGCCTGCTTCCACACTGTAGGGATTCTATGAATTAAATACATTTGAAGTGGCTACCACTGTTGTAATATAGGGAACATGGCAGCTAATTTGTATGGAGTGAGCTCCCACAAAGGGCAGCGTGATAATGACTAAATCTGGCAGCATCTGTGCAGAAAGAAACAAGAGCTAACATTTCTTGTCTAATGTTACTTTCTTTTTTAGCAAATTTACTGATTTGCTCCGGCATTTACTGTGTTTGTTTCAGATTACCAGCATATGTGGTATTTTGCTTTTACCAAATACATCTGCTCAGGGTTGTGAGAGAAATATTGGCCCAACAGTCAGGGAAGAACAGAGAATTGTCTTGATCTCTTCCGAAGCCAGGAGATCTATTCAGGACAACTTAAGACTCAGGTGAAAGAGATGTGTGAAAATTTTAGAGTTACTCAGGAGAAAATGGACAATTAAAAAAAAGTAACACAAAGTACTGTGGATGCTGGAGAGCAGAAACAAACAAAACCAGAAATTGCTGGAGAAACTCAGCAGGTCTGGGAGCATCTGTAGAGAGAAAACAGTTATCCTATCCAGTCCAGTGACCCTTCTTGAGAAGGATCTGGACCTGTTGTTCTACAACAGCATGATACTCCCAGGACAACAAAAACAGAAATTGCTGGAGGAATTCAGCAGGTCTGGCAGCATCTGTAGGGAGAAAACAGTGACCCTATCTAGGACAGCTACTCTTCTTGAGAAGGATCTCGACCTGTTGTTCTACACTAGCATATTCCCAGGGCAACAAAAACAGAAATTGCTGGAAAAGCTCAGCAAGTCTGGCAGCATCTTTGGAGAGAAATTAGAGTTAACGTTTGGGGTGGAGTGACCCATCCTCAGAACTGAGCTTTTCCAGCAATTTGTGTAACATCAAATTACTGCAGATGCGAGAATTTGTACTGAAAACAAGAAATGCTGATGATCACAGCGGATCAGGCAGCTTCCATGCCCAGCAATTTCTGTTTTACTTTTTCTGATGAAGGGTCTAGGCCCGAAACGTCAGCCTTTCTGCTCCTATGATGCTGCTTGGCCTGCTGTGTTCATCCAGCTCTGCACCTTGTTGTCTCGGATTCTCCAGCATCTGCAGTTCCTACTATCTCTGATTCAATTTCTGTTTTGTTTTGTTTCTGATTTACAGCATCCGCAGTCCTGTCGGTTTTTATTTGATATTCCCAGGGACTAGACTGGACTGTGTAGTGGGTAACGATCATAAAAATGACCATTCCATTGCTTACAACTCCTTTGTTTCGCTTCTTGTTTCGCGATGCCACCGGGCCCAATCCTGCCTCTCTGTATTGGTTTATTGGGTAAAGACATACCAACCGAATCCCGAGGGTGGCGTTTTGCATCCGTCTAAGTTGCGATTGGTAGAGCCTGGAGTGTTATTTGAGCCTTGCTATGCGGCGGGGAGGGGGTTGTTGCTTGTTATGGACGGGCCGAGTTACAGAGCGGCTGATGTGCGCTCCCCTTCATGTATATCTCCCAGTGAAAGTCAGTGTTAGTTACATTGTATCCGCAGAGTTGCAACATCGTATTCGCCGCGTTCCATCGCCTCTCGGCGCTCTGGCCAGCTCCTTTTCTCACAATTGCACCTTCCTCCCTGAGTTATGAGACCTGGGAAATGATTTCCAGAACTGGCCTCTTCACTCTCGCCCTGCTCCTCGCCGCTGCCTGCCCCGGCGCTCCCTCCTTCGCCTGCGACGATAAGCCGTCATCGCCGGCTTGCTTAAAGGTGACCAGACCTCCTGTCGTACTGGGTGAGTTCACGAGCAAAAAAAAGGCTCGGTTTTGTCTAGTTACTTAACGTGTTTTGAGGCACGCTATTTATTTTTTTTTTAAAAAACTCAGTTTCTGTGACCAAGTTTATTATTTAGCTTTAATGCCCGTGAGCCTGCAGTTGAATTTGTTTTTTTTGTTTTAACCGTGTGAAAATGTTACTTCCTTTAAAACAAAATATACTTGATCTATATGTTTACTTTTAACAGCCTCAGCCTGGCAGTAAAATATTTAATAGTGTTGTATGCTTGATGTATTGTTTAAACATTTACAAATGGATTGGGTAATTACTGTATAGATAATATTCTTACGGTCGAATCGCTGTATCCAACTGTATCCAATATTCACTTTTCCTCCGACTAAATGCACCGAACTCGAAACTGCTTGGGGTGTTCCTGTGTTGGTATTTGTTATCGAGCTGTACCAATCTGTATATGTAGTGACTGAGGAAGGGAAGTAAAGAGCAGGCCAGAATGCCTGAGCTCCCCCTGCCGCACATTGGCCCCTCTCCATCACATCGCTGTGTTTTAATGTGAAACTAGGTGCAAATGTTTACCCTTCAAACAGTAATAGCTAAAATGACACCTGTACTGTATTTTCATTTGAAGTTGTTTTGAACTGTAGTAAGAACTTTATGTTTGTAGAGTCCTTTTCATCACTACTCCAAAGATTGGTTTATGAGGAGAGATCAGTAGATTGGGACTATGTTCAGTGGCATTTGGAAGAATGAAGGAGGATCTTATAAAAACGTATAAAATTATGAAGGGGATAAATAAGTTAGAAGCAGGGAGGGTTGTTTCCACTGGCAGGTGAAACTAGAACTAGGGCATATAGCCTCAAAATAAGGGGGAGTAGATTTAGAACTGAGGTGAGGAGGAACTTCTTCACCCAAAAGGTTGTGAATCTGTGGAATTCCCTGCCCAGTGAAGCAGTTGAGGCTATTTTGAATGTTTTTAAGGCAAAAATAGATTTTTGAACAGTACAGGAATTAAGGGTTATGGTGAGCGGGCGGGTAACTGGAGCTGAGTCCACAAAAAGATCGGCTGTGATCTTTTTGAATGCGGAGCAGGCTCGAGGGGCCAGATGGCCTACTCCTGCTCCCATTTCTTATGTTAGCCAGTGAAATTAAGGCTCTGTTGTAAAGTATAAAAACACAACAGTTGGAGGTCAATGATTTAAGTTGATTGACAAAAGAAGTCATAGTAACCTGAAAAATGTATACGTGGTGAATACATTTTGGCGTAAATGTGCTGAAGCATTGCTGTGGGAGAGGTATATAGATTCCTGCAAGGTGAAGGAATTGAACGGTGACCATGTAACCACTGTCAGTTGTCATGGAAACCCATCTGGTTCACTGCCCTTTGGGGAGGGAGGTCTGCTGTCTTTTCCTAGTCTGGTTTGCATTGGCTCCAGACCCACAGCAGTATTGTTGACAATAAGGGATGGCCTATCCAGCAATGCCCATTTCATACCAACAAGTAAAAAAAATCAAGGGTTATCTGAGAGTATGAAACCCAGAACACAAACAGATCAGCCATAATCTTATTGAATGGTGGAGCAGGCTCCTAATGTCCTAGTTCTGCTCCTGATGCTCATATTCATATGAATGGTTAGGGTTTGGATTGCACTGCCTTTCTTTTGCCAGTGGTTCAGTCTAGATTTTCCTCAGAGAATTGGATAATTATTGAAAGGAGGAGGATTTTCAGGGCTGTGGGGAAAAGGTGAAGTAGTGGCATCAAATGGCAGATAACCAGCATCGACATGATAGGCCGAATGGCCTCCCGTGCTGTAATCATTCTATGATTATAATCTAAAGTGCCCAAAACAGCAATTGGCCAGATAATCTGTTTGAATGGTGCGAGTGAGAGATGGTCTTCGGCCAAGACACTGGGAGAACTTTTCTCCTCTTCAAATGGCATTATTATGATCTTTCCAAGGTGGCAGAAATTTCATTTAAAACTTTGAAGTTCTGAATATAACGTGCTCTTTATTACTGCACAGAAGTTGTTGCCTAGCTTTTGTGCTCAAGTGCCTGAGTTTATAGTCTGCAAAACAGAGCTCCCCATCTGATCAACCATCAAAGCTGCTGGTCGTAGAACCTTGTCTGCAAATTAGCTGCCTCACTTTGCTCATTAAATTCATTTCAGAAATAATTCATTGGTTTTAAAACATTTTGTCATGTCCTGAGCATGTGTTAAATAACTAAATAAATCCAAGTTCTTTTCACAGACTTAATGGGACTGGTTGAGGAAGAGCGGTTGGAGTGGTTTGTTTCGATCAATTACCTTTATTCTTTACCGCTGAAATATTTAGCTGCGAGGTGGAATATATTGAGTCTGGCATCACTGCCTTTGCCCTAGAACTGAGCCTGTTTCAGGAGTACTTAAGTTGCAGTTGTCAGATGAAGTTGTTGATTTTTATCATTAACTAACTTCACTTGTCTCTCCACTTTACTACCAATTCCTGATATCTGCTATTGTATGTAAATTTTACATGTTGCCTAATTCTGCTACCAGCAGAGTGAGGAATACCAGTGGTTATAGTTAAAATATTTTTTCTACATGGGATCTGATAGCAGTGTCAATCAGCCCTACTTACCTTACTTGATAAGCCTTATTCTGCATTGTTTTACTCAGAGTATTGGAAATCTTTGCCCCTGTTCCAAAAGGGGTTAGGTCGACAAGATAACTGTCAAAAATGGCAATTTTATATTCGTGAAGGATTAGGAGGTCTTGTCGCACAGTCAGTAGAGTCTCTGCCTCTCAGCCAGATGCTCCAAGTTTATCTCTCACTCCAGGACTTGATCAGCAAGGAGGGCATGCTAATAACACAAGTTGATTATCAATGTTTAAATCTTTAAAACACACACCACTGGTGTTGAGAGAGAGAGAGAGAGGGACTCCTGTTCAGTCATGTGATGGAAAGAAGCTCCATGCTATAACATGTAAGTAAAGGTATAAGTTGCCTGAGCAATGCAGATTTGCTGGTGGGCTAGTTGGCTCCATAGCCTGGGGGGCCATTATGGATCTAATTGGTGCCAATAACACAAGGTTTGACCCCTATTCTAGTGGGATCGACTCGGGATCTGCCTCCTTGTCTTCCACAGCGACCTCCATCATGGGTATTAGTCCTGCCTTCCTGTGGAGAACTCCATGATGATGATTCAGGGTTATAGAACTAATGTGCAAATTCAGAGACACAGTCCTCTTTAAAACTGAAAATATAAACAGAAAGTACTGGAGAAACTCGGCAGGGCTGGCAGCATCAGTGACGAGAGAAACAGAGTAAACATTTCAAGTCCCATATGACTCTTCTGGAATGGAAGTCCAAGTTCGTGCTTTGAAGTTGTTGAACTCAATGTTGAATCCTGAAGGATGTAAAGTGTCTCGATGTAAAGTGTCTCAATGAAAACTGAGGTGCTGTTTCCCTCCTCAAGTTTGCACTGGGCTTCACTGGAGCGTTTGCAGCAGGCCTGAGCCAAAAATGTTCCAGGAGAACAAGATAGTGGATTGAAATGATTAACAGCAACGTGCTTGTGAGACAGAGTGAAGGCAACCCAGTCTGTGTTTGGTTTTGCCAGTGTCAAGCAGACCATGTTTTGAGCATTGAGTGCTGTAGACTAGATTTGAAAGTAAATCACTGCTTCACCTGGAAGATGTGTTTGGGATCTTGGACAGTGAGGTAGGAGGAAGTGAACGGACTGTGATTGCATGGGAAGGTGCCAGGATGGGGTGAAAATGCATTGAGAGTGATAGAAGTGTGGATAGTGGATGGGACTGTCATGGGGAGGCAAGGAGGAGGTGTGTTTGATTGTGCCTCCTGCTGGAGGTGATGGAAATGTCGGAGGATGATCTTTTGAATACAAAGGTTGACGGGTTGGAAAATGAGGATAGGGAGCACAATGTCACTGTTTTGAGATGGAGACGAAGGGGTGAGGGCAGAAATACGAGAAGTGAGTCATACAGGAGACTGTGTCAACCCTGGAGATGCGGGCGGATAAGGGGAAATCCTTGACTGAGGAAAAAGATCATGTGTTGGATTTCCCCATCAATGGAACAGTTGCAACAGAGGTGGAGGAACTGAGAGAATGGAATGAAGCCCTGCAGGAAGTAGAGTGAGAGAAAATCTGGTCAAAGTAACTGTGGGAGCTAGTGAGGTTGTAGTTGGTACTAATGTACAGCCTATCCCCAGAAACGGAAAGTTAAGTCAAAGAAAGGATGAGTCAGATTTCCAGGTGAAGGTGAGAGAAAGATGTAAATTGGAAGCAAAACTTTTCCAATTCTGGGCGAGAGCAAGAAGCAGCATCATTGGTGTAATTGATGTAACAGAGTGTTGTAGGAGGGGCCCCATTTAGGACTGGAACATGGAATCTTCCACATACCCCTGCAAGCGACAGGCAAACTGGGACCCGTGTGGGTAGTCAGTCGTGCTTCGTACTTGGAGAAAGTGAAATATATTAAAGGAGAATTTCTTCAAAATAAGAACAAGCTTAGCCAGACACAGATGGGTGCCGCATGGGGACTGTTCAGGCCTCCTTTTCAAAGAAGAAATGGCAAATATTCAGACCATCCTGCTGAAGGATTGAACTGTAGAGGGGCTATATGTCCATGTTGAGGAGGAGGCTGGTGGGCTAGGAAACTGGAAGTTGTGCAACTGATATGTTTAGACTGTAAGATCTAGAAACAGAATTAGATCATTCGGCCCATCGAGTTTTCTCCGCCATTAGATCATGTTATATGTTTTGTTCATATTTCTCACCCCCATTCTCCTGCTTTCTCCATGTACCTCTTGATCCCCTTACTACTCAAGAATTCTCAATGATTGTGAGCAAGAAACATCATTTATGATTCTTCTGATCACTTTACAAGTGGGAAGCAATTGAATGAGGGGAACAAAAATAGTCAAGGTAGGAAGAAGTAAATTCAGTGGGGTAGAAACAGGCAGGTTTATCAGTGCAGAAATAGTAGGAACTGCCGATGCT